TCCCCACATGGTGTCATTCACAGGGTAAGTCTCCTTTTCTTGGAGACAGATACTTAGGTGAATATTTATCATTTTTAGTTGTGACACTCAGGAAAATGTTTCCCATCACTCCCATGGACCTTTATCAGGTTCAGGAATACTCTGTTCTCCTTAGTCTCTATTTTGATGTCCTCCTCTGCTGACAGTATGAATGTCATGCTGATTCTCTTTGTATCTGACCTTCAGGGATGTCTGCCCAAAATAACAAATGTACAGAGCTGTTTTTAGGAAAGTTCTTAGAAGTTCCTCATTCCTGTGGGAAAATATTGCCTCATGCAAACCCATCATTTCAGCTCTGCAGTTTGTGTCTAGGAAGACGTGGTCCAGTCAGTTTGATTGCCGGGATAGAGAACTCTAATCTGTGTAAAGTTGGGGCAGTTTGTGCAAGGAAACAAACGTAGGCTGAACCACTGTTATTCCACTAGAAACGACTGTCAACCAATCATTGGATACTGTGGGAGAGAACAAGAGATGGTGTTGACTTCAGCACCCAGAGGACTTCTAAGAATTTCCCTACAAGTAGCTATGTGCATTTGTTCCTCAGGGCAGACATCCCTGAAGGTCAGATACAAGCAGAATCAGCATCTCACTCATACTGTGAGCAGAGGTGGCCGTTGAAATAGAGACACTTCCTTAGGTAAGGTTGAGGATCCTTACCCACCTCCCTACCCTGTACTGATATTGTGCCTGGCTTGAGCTCACTTAGGTCTTGTGCAGGTGTCACAATTACTGTGAGTTCATATGTGCAACAGCCCTGCTGTCTGGAAACACTTCTTCCATGCAGTCGCCCACCACCTTTAGTGTCTTTTATTAGTTCTTTTTAAGAAACAGTATCCAAAGTGCTATGTTTTATTTTGTTACTTTCAAATTCTCTTTGTTCTGTAGTTCATCTTCTCCATCCCCCTCCACTGTCCTCTTAGCCCGCTCCTTGCTGGCCTCCTTCCTCTTAGAGCCCCCATTCTCCTTTCTCATCACATAAATTCTATCACCATGTTCCCCTGCCCTGGCCCTTAAGACTTGTTTCCCCTTTCATGGTTCCCTTCCTAGTTTTGTGGCCTCTATCCACAAAAATACACACATCTATACACATATATAGGAATTAAAATCCGAGATCTGCCTTTAGTGAAAACACATAGTATTTGTCTTTATGACTCTGGGTTACTTTGTTTAATATAAAATGACCAGTTCTGCTCATTTCCCTGTAAATGTCATGATTTCATTTTTCTTATAACTCCTAGGTATTACCCACAAGGCATTTGCATGTCCATGTTTAGTGCTGCACCATTCCACGTATCTGAGAAATAGAACAGGCCTACATGTCCAGCTGGTGAATGCACAGTGACAATTGCATTAATATTCACAGTGCATCTTTATTCGGCTGTAAATGAAAAGATTTCTTAAAGATGTCATAGTTATCATACTATAGATCCAATCCCCATGTCAAACTGTCTCCAAAGTTGAATTATTAAAAATTCACAAACATATTCTGTCAGTCCCTCTGTTGGGATGTGGTCTTACTGTTTACCACATCTTTACTGAAGGAGGATCTTACAGACTGGTTGGTGGCACTGTCCACTCTCCGGAATGGCAAGTGCATGGGCAAGATCAGACCTGGAGGATGAGAGTCTGAGACTCCAAATATTGTTGTTGTTTCCAAGACCATTCATATTAGGTCATGAACAATGTGTGGTGTTTCAGACATTCAGTAGTCTCCCACTGTTTACTTTGATTTTAAGTTTATATTTTACATTTAGGAAGACTTTGTTTTCTGTAACAAACAAGTCTTTAGTGTGCATGTGGCTGAAAAGGAAGAAATTTTCCTTTTGTTTCTGAGTGAATCGTGGTGCCTCTTTGATTTCAATATGCAAACTCATCACACTATTGTGTAAAGACTGGAAACATCCACCTCTGAAATTTATTAATAGTGACTCAATAGTGTGTACAAACACCAGTCTTTATACCCTTACTTTCTAATGTAGGACCTACCTTATTTGATCTATCACTATTTTATGTGTTGAGTCTCTCATAAGCTTATAAAATATTTAACCTGGCTAGGGAAGCTACCACAAGGTGGCAGTAGACCTCAGTGCACAGAATTCACTTTAGTAACAGTTGAATGTGTTAGGCTTAGGGCAAAAGTGAGCTCTTTTCCCATTGGCGGGTTCAACTCAAGAACGAGACATTCTGAGAAAGAGGAAGCACCGGGCAGGAGCAGCTACCTGGCTAGTGATCACATTCTACTGCAGAGTTTCATCAGGAAGAGCAATGAGGGCTTGCGATCCCACTTTTCTCACGTTCCTGTGGCTGCAGCTGGACTGTGAGTGCATGTTCTGGAGGAACAGAATAACTAGTGGGCACTCGTGAAACATCCTGGGAAACATCTGTTTTATTCAGGTTTCCTTTGTTTACTGTAGATAATGAAATTTTTGAAGAGTAATTACTTAACAGTTTTTCTTCCCACATAGGGGTGACCCGAGGAGAGAAGGTGGAGCAGCATCCTTCCACCCTGAGTGTCCAGGAGGGAGACAGCAGTGAGATCAACTGTACTTATTCAGACAGTGCCTCTAACTACTTCCCTTGGTATAGGCAAGAGCCTGGAAAGGGTCCCCAGCTCATCATTGACATTCGTTCAAATTCAGAGAGAAAACAGAACCAAAGATTCACTGTCTCACTGGATAAGAAAGCCAAACACTTCTCCCTGCACATTGCAGCCACCCAGCCTGGAGATGCAGTCCTCTACTGTGCAGCAAGTACACACTGCTCCCCAGACACCTGCAGCCTGTCCTCAAACCTGCTTACGGGGCCTGGAGCCCCACTCCAGGTCTTTGTCACAGATGTTCTAGTACAGCATTTGCCAGATGTTTGTTTTCAAGTGAAACTATCATATAGAGACTAAAAGCACATCATAAAGTAAGTTGCAGGACATTCAGAACGATTTAGAATATCTTAATTATTGTTGTTTAGCATATTACTTTTCAATTTGTTCCTCGTATCTATTTAAGGTGCAAAGCATGATATTTTGATACATCAGCAGAAAGAACAATAAGGTATTAGACAAAGAGATGCACTGGCCAGGGTTTGGGAAAGGCTAGTGAAGCCTCCGTCACCTGTGCAGCACGCCAAATTGAGGAACATCCATGTGCTCTGCAATGCTAGAACTGCTACTGAGACGTAAAGGAATCAGTAGCCTTTGTATTGAAACATGCTTTATGTGGCTTTATGATGACTAGGCAGACTTCTTAGTTAAATAAGCCGGGAAGATCAGTATTATACTCCTTATCATGCACAAACTATTCACTCATTTGTTCCTTTTTTATGTCAAAACATCATGACAAATACAGAAAA